AAATGGTCCGTCCGCGTCCACTCTTCCCGAGCCCACGGGGCGTCCTGGTGCCGTTCACTCAGTGCATCGGTGCGTCCCCGGTTCCAACCTGGCCTTGTCTGTCCTTGTCGGGCCTGTCCCGTCACTTGCTATGTCTCTCTGACTATGCTGTTCTTCGCCCTGTGGCGAGTATCTACATGTGTTGTCGTTGGCTTGGGGCTCTTGCTTCCTGACGGCCTTAGCTTTCCCGGCCCCGAGTGGACGATCGAGGAAAGCCGCCAGCCGAGCCTCGAAGCGCATGCGCAGTGCCGACGCCCCTTGGGGTAGAGACGGTACGTATTGTCGTCTCAGACGTATCTCAACGCGCGCAGTAAGGTTCCTCGTCTATTCGTCTACCCACTTTACATTTGACCTAAGACTGTGTGCCTCTAATCCATGTTTAGCGCCGTTGTGAACATCACTTACGTATTCAAACACTCTTGCCTTGGAACGCTCCAAACTCTATACCATCACACAGTCCATCGGGCTTGTACTCATGCTCTGACGCATCTTCGAACGCGACAGTCTGATTAAGGGAGGCAGGGGGTGAAAGCATATTGCACGCATTTGCGCGTTGCGACGTCCTCCGATAGCTAGCGATCGCAACACCATCGGCTTGAACTCGGCTCACTGGTCTCGAATCACTGATCAGTGTCGATGCGCTTGAGAAACCGTCTAGCCGCCCGTCTAGCCCAGGCCCAGCGCCTGTCTCGAAGGAATTTGAGACCTTCCAAGACACCAGATCGCATCCCGTCCACTTGGCCCGATGCGCTACGCTACATCCGTCTCCGTCCGCCGCTCGAGATCGGCCAAGGCGTCGGACGGCCAAACGATCGCTCCAAGACAGAAGAACCTGTGGAGAGAGGTGGATCGCAAACTGGAACTGGTACAAGACGCATATACACACACCACACCTGCGGCCAGTCCAGCAAAACACTCGAACGCGTCGTGACTTGCACTCACGCTTGACTGTTTTTTTCGAAGTCCCGACCTGGCTGCTCTTCACATTTGAAAAGACCAACGAGACCCAGACCTAGAGGATGGGGCAGAGAGAGGTCGGTAAACCGAGACCTCCAACGAACTGGACCCATTCCCCCCCAATTTCCCCTCCCCTTACGGCTGGCCTTTGAAGCAATTTGTATTGATTGCCAGTGACCCCATTTTCCGGGCGCGCACTCTCTTCGTCTCCCACTCTACATTTCCTTCACTTCCACTGCGACCCACGACGACGAGCGCTCGCACTCGCCCGCCCCTGCACGCGCGCACGCCCATTCTCCCCGTACCATTGCAATTATCCTGTCCCAGGATACATGATACCTTTCCCAGGTCAAACGAGAAGAGCTGTGGCTCCCTCGACAGCCCCAGATGTCCAGAACGGTCGTAGACAGGACCCGGCCGGAAACACGCCAGTCCAGAAATGGCGGTCAATTTGTCGCTGTTACCACCTTACTGAGTGCTCTGTACATTGGACTCAATCCAAGTTACCTTGGCCCTTCTCTATCCTCCTCTCTCTCTCTCTCTCTCTCTTCCCCGAGCGTGTATGTACTGTATGTGTCTGTCTCCCACTCTCCAGGGCTCCGCTGCATCTTTCACAGGTGACGGGCCTGTTACTTGGGACAAACCCACATTCTGCATTGGAGACAGACAGGCAAAAGAACTGGAGCGCCCAGGAGCACACGCCCGGCCCAGATACGGAAGGGCCCAGATGTGGTTCGAGAGAGGGTTGAGAAAGAGGCTTAAGTCGTCCAACAAGTCTTCGGGTCCTTACCACCCAAGTGGATGCCGTTCCATTTGAAAGGCAGAGGAGAGAGAACCCACTCAACGTCACGGCATATCCCATGTCGTTTTCTTTTTTAATCCCCTTCCCATCTCTCCTCCTTCAACATCCAAGCCCAAAACGCCCTCACCTCCAACGGTCAAGGGGTGACAGGCAGGCAGTCAGGGCGCAGACAGACGGGGCATCAGTGGGATGACCCATATTCAGATCGGCGTCGACGAGGCCCTCCTTGTGCGATAGGTATCTCGTTCCCAAACATCGTCAAAGCAGAGAGGCAGGGCCATCAATCTGACCACCCGCCGCGCCGTCCGATCCGTTCTTTTTCTTCAGCTATTGACGGTCCCATGTTTTAATCGCTCTCAAATTACAATAAGAATACCTCTAGTGTAGCAGAAAGAACCACACCCACCCCAGTCTCCAGCAGCTGTGGCTCCCCCTCATCCCCTCCCCATCAATCAGATCCCCCCCCTCCCCTCCTCCTCCTCCCAATCCATTCATCGGCGAACGGCAACAAGCTGGTTGGGCCCTGTTTTTATTTTTATTTATACTCTCATCAAATCAGCTGCCAAGTCGGAGGGATTCCTTCTCGCTTGCTTGCTTTTGCCATCGGCTAATCCATCGCTTAAGATAGCAGCATGCGCTTAAGGGATTTCCGACAGCGAGATGTCATCATAATCAACAATGACAGGCAGCCTCGCGCGCCCGCGCTATTTGAGGCTCTTTGGAGGGGCAAGGTATATGTGGTGGTCTACCCAGCTGCTGGGGACTTTTTGGCGCCGTTTTTGAGAGAGACAGACTTGGGCCCCCCGCAACTACGACCATGTTTAAAGGCTCAAAGCAAAAAAAAAAAAAAAAAAAGGGAACAAGTACAGTACACGGCATGCGATGGCCGCAGCCCTGGGGGTTTCCGGGATTTGCTCAGTCCTCGGGACCCGATGAATTGATTACCGAATTGAAGAATTGATTGAGTGGTTGATTGACCGAACGGGAAAAGAGGGTACCTCTCCCAGGAACATCACCCTTTGTGTGTGCGCGCGTGCTTGTTGTGGGCAGCAGAGGGAAATGTGCCTCTCCACAGCAATGCGTGGGACGACAGACAGGCAACTCTCTCGCACCCTGGGCCCCGTAGTGTACCTACCTACCTCCCTTCTGGGTGAGATTGAGGAGAAGAGGTCAAAGCAACACCACCGCACAAGGGCGAAAACCGACGATGCTGTCACCTTCTGCTCCCAGTATCACAGTGAGGGGGGGGGGGGGAACAGGTCAGCGGGCAGGCAAGGCAGGGGCAGCGCCCGGTTGAGGGTGAACTACTCCGTACTGGCGAGAGGGGAGAAAGGCGTGAGAGGCATGTCAGAGTGTGGGTGGATACGCCCTCATCTCTACCCGTTTCTGGATGGGGAGACTTTGGGGAGGGGAGAAGAGAGGGGCGAGGAGACGGAGAGAGATTGATGTTTGATGGCCAAGGCAGGCGGATGTTCATTGCAACGGGACAGTTGGGCGGCGGCGGCGGCGGGCGGCTTGGATGTTGTTGCTGCGCGCGGTATGTGCGTCTACCATGCGGCAAGGGCGCCTCACCCCTGGCCTGGCTCGCTGCCTCTTCATCCCGGCCCCCGGTTTGTCTTGGTCCCTGTCGTTCTCGTTGTGTGCGAGCGTCCTCGTCTCTGTGCTGCCATTTCGTTATTTTTTACCCTATCCAATACCTCGCGGTAAATCAATGCGATCCGCCGGGCAGCTCCCTTCCCGTCTGGTCTTGTCTTTCTGCTGTGCCGATGCTATGCTGGTCCCTTCTCTCGTCTGGTGTTGCTGTTCGCCAAGCCAAGGCTGTGTGCGACCCGAGTGTGCCAGGTTCTTTCACCTTTCTCTCACACTCTCACATTCCCTCCCCCCCCCCCCGGCTCTATCTCTCTCTCTCTCTTCCCCTCTGCCTACGGACGATAAAGTAAACCAAATCTAGCTCTTCTGATTGGTCCCAGGCCCAGAAAAGGCGCTTCCCGTCCGTCTCTTGCCTCCCTCTATGTGTGTCTGTACCCATGTAAGAAGGGGTCTTGTGAAAGTCTTGGATCTTGGATCTTGTAACCTATGTCATGGAGGGTCCCCAAAGTGAAGGGACCGGGGCACATTTCTCGGCTGGATCGGTTCGTCAACTAAACCCGACTTCATAAAAACTCAATGTACGATGATGGATGTGTGGGTGGGTGTTTGTCTGAGGTTGGTTGGTAACAGGAAAATCATCGAGCCAAAGTTGCCTTGGTCTCTCCCAAGTCCTCTCTCAATTACCCCCCTTCCTGGGTGCGTGACAGCATGTCTTGACTGATCGGCGGTCCCATGTTGTCATATTCTTCGCTCTCTCTCACCTTTGCCCACCCACCCTCTAGTGTTACATACTCTCTCTCGACTGCACCCGTCAACTCATGTAGTCATCATTACCACATCCACTGTAGCGGGACCAGATTGAATTTTGAACCTTGAGCCAACTGAAGGACGGATAGGCAGATGCGAAAAAAACAACTTTTGTCTTTGCTCATTGTGTGGTTTTTTATACGTATCTCGTGGCAAGGTGAGTTTTCCTAATCCACTGACTATGGTTAAACATCAGAAAAAATAAAATAAAATCAGTGATCACATTCTTATAATCCCTGCCCAGAATGTGTGTAAAACTTTCGCCCCCTCCCCAAAGTCTAGTTCCGCCCAATGGTTGTGATATATATCCCGTTGCGATGACGACAATGTCAAGAAAAAAAAAAAACCAGACCTCCCAAATCCTGTAAAGCGCCGTCTTTCTCCTAATTTCCCGGGGGTAAAAAAACCAACGAACAAGCAAAGTCGTCAAAGTTCGAAACAAGAAAAGAAACAAGAACTTGCGGTCGCAAGAGTCCTCCAACCTGAGCCCCGTGACACCGGTATTTTTTGTGTAAAAGTGTGAAGAGAGGAAACAGAACCAGCCAATCAGACGTGCTCCCCAGCCGCCTTAAATGCCTCGACAATGAACCAACCCGTTTTGTTTTTTTATCTACTACAAAGACCATTCCGGCAAAAAGTGTGTCCCATCCCATTCCAGCTGAAAATGAGACTCCGCAACAAGGTGGATATCAGAACGAAGAGAGCCAAGAAACGAAGCAAGAAGTTTGACGGGGGGTGGAAGAGGAAGTATGAACAGGTAGATGTAGTAGTGCCATGACCAGAGCAACGCCAAGGCCGCCCTTGTCTATGACCCTTCGACGGCAACGCAGCCACGGAGTTCAGGGTAGCGTCTGACGAAGTTCTCATTGAGACGCCAGTTTTCGACGCGCATGGCGTGGGCTGTGAAGGTGTCGCTCAGCCACATCTCTCCAGACTGCGGGTCGACGACAAGGGCATCGATTGGTCGGCACGGCCAGTTGATGAGCCTCAGACTAGACGAGTAAACGGCCTGAAATTCTTCGTTTGCGTATGCATCCTGCCGCTCGATGATGGCAGTGCGTAGGGGGGCCCAGAGGATCAGGTCAACCCACTGCGGGTGCGGGATGGCCGTCTGGATCGGCTTGGGCGTGAGCTCTTGCAGCATGGCCATGTATGCCTCACGCGTCGGATGCACCAGCCAAGCAACAGCCCGCTGGATGACCGCAAAGACGGCGAGGCGTTCAATGACGTTGGTCACGCCGGCCTTATTGACGAGGGCGGTAATGAGCTCGGCCATGGGATGGTTGGCACCGGAAGCCGCGGCAGAGTTGGAAGCGGCACGGTCGAGGTCGGCTAGCTGGCATCGTGGGGGTGAGTTGGTAGGTGAAGCAGGATGGTATTCGAGGAAATTCTTCATGTTGACCCTGGCAGGCCGGAGGAGCGAGTCAAGGGGTTTGAGCTGGGACAGTCGGCGGCAATCCTGGATGAAGCCAACCAACAGCTGGTCGATTCGACAAGTGGGCGGGACGATGAGTGTCGGAATCTCCCAGAGTGTGGTGCCTGGCTGGCGGATCAATGGGCCGACGGTTGTTGGTAGTACACCGGGGTTGGATACGAATTCCACGACTGCTGGTGAGGGAGGTATGACTGATGATGATGAGCCATGGGAACGTGTTGGTGGCCCATGGGATGATGGTTGTGCGGGTAGCCAGCGTCTAGAAACTGAGTGGTTAGCGTCTCAGAATTGCGTTGACCCAACCACCGCATGCGGGAAGAACACCCACCAGAGTCGACGTCGTCGTACTCCATCTTGGACGGGATGCTACGGGCGTCCATCATCGGCGCGGGGACGCTCGTGGGGATGTAGCCTGCGCCGTACTCGTCCGTGTTGGCCGATGATGACGGACTAGAAACGGTCGAGGGAACGGAAACGGGAATGCCTGGGCCCCATGACTCTGACGCATCCGGCATGGGCACATACGAGGGGCCGAGTTCTTGCATCACGTTGTAATCACCGTTTGATGGGAATGGTGAAGATCTGGGACTCGGGACAGCCCCGCTGATAGAACTGAGGTTGTCGTCGTATACTGGAGCCGAGTCAGCACGAACAAGAGACACCCACGCAGAGGACGAGGCAGCTGCGGCAGCCGTACCTGAGTTTGGGTAAGACTGCCCATTAGGAATGCCCACGCTCTCACGGAGCTTGAACAGTTCCTCTTCAAGGGCCTTGTTCTTGCGCAAGAGCTCCTGAACGGTCTGGCTCTGGTCGCGGTTGCGTTCGCTCTTGAGTTCCTCAAGCTCTCGCTCGAGTCTCTCGATGTGCTCCTTTGTCCTAGCTCTAATGGCCCGCTGAGCTTCTCTGTCGTTGGCACGCTTTCGCGCCAGCTGAGACGGCGTCAAGGTAGAGACGCTTCTGGTGCCTGTGGGTAAGGAACGTCAAGTCAACATGTTGGTTCTTGATATTGAAGGAAAGCGAGGCCCGCCGAGGGAAGGGAGGAAGAATGGTGCAAGTGCGGGAGAGTGAGAGAGAGGGAGGAGGGCGGCGGCGGCAACCACGACGGTAGATGCGCATTGTCATGAACAGAAGCACAAGACAAGTGCGTCTATGTCGAGGTCGCCGGCGATGTTGGTGACGGTTGATATTGCGTACCCTTGCGCTTGGCCGGCTTCGAAGGCTCTGCGGAAGCTGATCGCGTCATGTCGGCGGGGGATTTGTCGTCGTGTTGTGTAACAACGGTGGTGGTGACAGGTGTTGCTCGAGTGTTGGCGACGGCAGTATGGGCCATACTCTGGAAGATATGAAGAGGAGAGAGCGTTGAAGTGTTGTGAGTTGTTCGAGTTACGAGGCAGGGATCAAACGCAGAGGATCAAATGGCAGCAGCATCTGAGTTATAAGATCTGTTGACGACAGAGAGCAGACGCAACAACAGGGCCCCCAGTGCCGCCGGCAAAGGTTTCAGGGCAGCTGGGAGCGATGGGTAAGTAGAGTACGAGGGGTACGTACATGGGAGAAGGGACATGGGGGGGTGGGAAGGGCTGCTGGTGCTGAGGAGGAGTGTCTACTAGGGACCAGGTACTCAGGTAGAGTGTGTACATACCGCGTGAGGGCCACAGAAAGAGATAGAGACGGAGAAGCAGAGAGTGAGAGAGAGAGAGAGGTGTGCTAGGCAAGGTAGGTTGGTCTGCAGCAGGGGTTCGAGGGGATTGCTGCATCCGGGCTAAAGCAGCCCAGTCCTAAGGTAAGGCAGGGTAGGGCAGCTAGGCACGGTACCGCCAGAGAAAATAAGAGCAAGTACACCGGTACTCGAGTACTTTTGGCTGCGAGATGGGGCAAGTATCGGTGAAGAGACGCAACTTGGCACATGACAGTTGATGTTAGGCACAGACATGGCGCAAATTGCTAACCCACTTCGAGAACACCCTACAGATCTATCTAGGATGAGCTGGGGTTTGATGGGGGCACAGGGGTCTGTACAGAAGGGGACAAGACGGTCAGGGGGGCCATGTCCCCTGCACTCCCAGGACAGGCAAAGACGTCGAAGCCAGGGGTACAATAGCGCAGATGATACGTACTCAGTACGTACCCGAGAAACTTAGTGATGGGTGTGAGGTCTGGAAGTGGACTCGGGGAGAGAGGGGGGTAGGGGGGCGTGGCGCGAGATAGGGCGTGAGAATGCAAGAGATGCGAGAGTGAGGTATTGCGTCCACTAAGGCAAACCCAAGGTAAGGAAGGCATGGGAATCGGAAGAAAGAGAGAGAGAGAAAGCGCAAGAACAAGTGAGAGATGGAGGGTGTAAGAAAATTATGAAAATGGTATTATGTAACGACAACGAGATGGGACACCACGTTCTGCCATCGCATTGCATCGTAGCGCGTAAGCTATCAGTCTGGACATCGAGTTCGGTTCGATTCGCGAGAGAGAGAGGGAGAGAGACGGATATTGTGAGACTGAACCTGAACCCGACTGACCCTGAGCTTAAGCTCAGATGGGACTGAGGCCTGCAACACGCAACAGCAAAACAAGAAGGCTGCGGGCGTTTTTGCCGTTGTTGTCACGTATAAGTGAGCTCGATGATGCTATCGTACAGCTCAGTGGTACTGTAGGTGGGTGGGCGCGGCCTGGCCTATCCCATGAATGTGGCCTTGTGCTTGTTCGAGTCCGAGTTGGAAGATGAGCGACCGGTGGGGTGGCTTATCCGCGAGATGCCCGCTCTTCACCCCAAATCCAGAGTGGATGGGCTAGGAAAAGTGACGAGGAGAATGCGAAGAGGGTTGGAACAGAGTTGCAAAAGAGCATGGTGAAGACAAGGGAAACCGGCTCCTGGTTGGTAAGGTACTCTGTATCGTAAACCGTAAGGCAAAAAGGCAAGGCAAAGCAAGGTTTGTTCCACAGGAAAAGGTACCCAGCTGCTCTGGCCTGCTTTGCCTTGCCTGGCCTTGCCTCTCTGGGTAGCCTGCCTCGCCTTGCCGTGTCTGGTGGTGGTCCGTTGAAAAGTACGGTGTAACTAACAGCACCGCACCACCAAATCAAACGTCGACTCCTCTGCTCCCGCGCTTGACCTGGAGTGGCCTGGTCTGGCCTCGCATTACCCTGCCTTGCCTTCCCATGCCATGCCCGCCTTATCCATGGGCGTGTACGAGAGATGAGGACGGACGAGCAGTCGTTGAAGAAGAAGAGATGGATGAACAGACAAGACAGCACCAGCCAGCACCAGCCAGCACCAGCTCTAAAACCTCCCGGCCAGGAGTCAGGGCTGCGAATACCCACCACCGTCCATCGCTGGGACATTGGCCAAAGCCCACCTCCGTCCACCATATCTGACGGAATGCAATTGGGAACGGAGCACAGAGCAGAGAGACTTGGACCAGACCAGGGGGCGCGCGGTCCGGTTTTTGCTCGGAATAGCCACACCCATGACAGTGGCCTGTGTGCCAAAGTCCCATGGGCTCCTGGCTCGTTGCGCGCCCATGGAACGCCCAGACCAGACGAGGTGGTAGGGCGATGCCCCGTGAAATGCTCTCCGTATTGCATCGAGGGTTGCGGGATGCGGATTGCGGAGCGGAAAAAGACCATGTCCAAGTTGTGGTGTGGTTATGAAGGTGCCGGAGGGCCGGTCTGTTGTTCTACGTGGACCTCTGAAGATGGTCTGGTAGCGAGCGGCATGCGATGCAGTGCTGTGCTGGTGTATGAGGCGTAGCTCCTCCCCCCCAGCAAAGCCTCAATCTGGATGGCTCATCGGCAGAGCTCCAGTCCAGCTCCAGCTCCAGCTTCTGGTTCTGGTTCTGGTTCTGGCTCTGGCTCTCAGCGCGGCACGGCACCGCGCTGAGCTGCGCTTCCTGCTGCACTGCATTCGCAGCTGCATGTTCGGACACCCTCCGATGACCGGGGACGTCAGGGATATGACGAAATGGCCATTGTGTCGCCCTTGTCGATTGATTGAGCCATTCAAGCGCAGGCGGGACGCCACGAGGAGGGCGGCTTTCCGCTGTAAACACGCATCGGCATCAGCGCATGCGCATGTGCGGGCGGGCGTGCGGGATGAATGCGCGGTGCAGGAACAAGAGAGACTTTCGGGGTTTCCAGGTGGTCGTCTCTCTCTCTCCCCTCTCTCTCTTCCCCTCTCTCTTTCTTGCGCACTCAATTTCTCGCAAGAGATGCTCAGAGACACGAACGCTCGCGCGCACATACACACACCCACACACACCAAGTTGAAGGACTTGGAGGAGAAATTTGGTTGAGGGGAGCGCAAGTGAGGTGAAGACGATTGGGCCCTTCCCTTGGGAGAGGTGGGGAAAGGTGGAGAAGCCCATGGCAGTACGTCTTTCCGTTGCAAAATAAACTTTACGCTAGTGCCGAATGAGGCATAGTGTCGTGGGTGCCGATACGCGGCCCAGCAGCAAAAAAAGTGGTCGTGTATCGGCCAGGGGACACTGGGCACACCACACACACACATACGCGGTACACACACAGCAGCGGCAGCACACTGTCCGCCGTCGCTGAACCACTGGGCCGCTCGATATTGTAAGCCTGTGAAGTGAGGTGAGGTGAGGTGAGGTGAGGTGAGGTGAGGTGATGGAGGCGCGCAAAGCTAGGTAGGTAGTGGAGGTAAGCTCTTCTGGGATCTTTCCCCTGCGGTACGTACCCGACTGCCGTGAACTATCTTCCTAGCCCCCCCTGTACGGAAACCTGCTCCCACCTGCTGCTCCGGCGGCGGCCAGCCCGACTGGTGCTATGGAACTGGAACTTAGCGTGCCTGGCCTCACTCTCCCTCAGTCCACCTTACGAACGCTCTACCCTCCCTCACCTTACCTTACCTTACTGTGCACCTCAGTACACCCACCACCACCACCACCTCGTCCTGCTGTGTCGGATGGGGTGGTGGGTGAGAGACACGCAGGGCACGCTTCAACTGCCCTCCTCCGACTCAATTCGTTTTTTCCGCATCCTCGAGATTAGCTGGATGATTGTTCTTCTGGCCATGTGGTGTGAGAATGCAAAGCCCCCTCGTCGCCGCCTCAAAGGAAGGTGGTGTCATGGAATAAAATGCACCGATTAAACCATAGTCAGACCGGTCGCAAGCCAACGTGGAACATTTCCGCTGCCGCCGCCGGTACGCCGCTGACTAGACTTCTCGGGAACCCTACCCAAAGGGCCCTTAGCTCATCAACCACATCGGTCGACATAACGAGGCATGCAAGGACAACAAGAAGGAATGGCTGGGGGGGCTATCGAGTAGTAGGAAGCCTCTCCGTGCGTCGTTTCCTTCTGAGGCCTTCTAGCATCTCAACGGGGGACACTTGGAGAAATAGACGGCGGCCGCGGCGGTTTCAATGCCATGGCATGCTCGGCCGGGCTAACCACCAAGACGCCTTCTAGCCGCTCGCCAGAAACATTGGAAATGCCAATCGACGAGCCCAGTACCGGAGCCATTGCCAGGAACAACTTACCGCTCCCTCCATCGCCGCGATGACAATTCATCATCAACGGCCGAGCCTCCGTCTTCGCACCTAGAACGCCCGAGCTATCATTCCAAACCACGTCTGGCCTAGAGTTCGCGACCGGCCTCCAACCTCCCCAGCCCATCATCGTTCAGTAATCGCTGCTTCAATCCATTGCGAATCGGGCTACTCAACGGCAGCCTCGGAATCCGTTGTACGTAAAGCGTGCAAAAATTTCAAAGCCTCCCAAGACATTCAACGAGCTGTCTTGAATGGCGATGAGCATGAGGCCCAGAGTATAGTGCCGTCAGTGTGGCCGAATGGCGTCAAGTTCGTGCCAATGGTCGGACCTGGTTCCGGTTATCCAATCCTATGTGAAGCCGCCCGGTGAACTGCCGATGTCATTTTCTCTCTCCCCCCTCCGATTGCTTTTTCCGCCCGTCTGAATGCTTGTTCATGGCGGGTGGTATGCATCGCCCTTAGCCCTATCTGTCTGGTGCCGCCTCCCACCCTCTTCTTCCGCTGTCAGTAAACGTACACTTGGCAAAATCTGCGGTCGACAGGTAGGCGGGTTGTAATTAGCTGTTGGCTCCTTGATCGCCGACCGAGAGTCTAATGCTGTCGCAGTATTCACAGGCCGCGGCGTGTCTCACTTCAGCTTCACGGGAGGTCCTTCTGCCCGAGCTGTCATTTCTTGAGGGCGGTCTGCCGCTCGCAGAAACATTCGCTCGGTTGAAGGAAGCAGGTGCCTGTTTGGTGA